TATCAAATAAAGCTATGCTCTTGTATCATTTTTTCTTTGCAAAACTTATTACAATATAATAAAGTACAGTGTACAGTGTTGCTATGATATAATTTGGATAGTTTCTGTAGGTCTATTTTGGATTGCTGTTTTTTTCTAGTACTAGATTTAATAGTCTAAATGATGGGTATAGTGTTGCATGACAATAACTTGAATAACACAATTTGTAGGTAGACGTAGATGTTTGCCATCCAATTAAGACATTAGTAGCTGACAACAGCCTGTTAGGCAATTTTTTGTGCTCGGTCCAGGTATTACTTAAGTTGCATCTTATGTTTTTTTTCTTTTATCCTTGGAGATTCCAGGTCAGAGCATTTCTTGCTATACTGGTCAGTACTGGTCACCGGTCTTGAGTTTGGCTAGTCAATTATCATAAGTATGTAATTTTTTTTTTAAAAAAAGACAGAAAATGTATAATTTTTAATTTAATTTATTTTTTTTCCACAGAAAAATTGAGGACTCCGATACGTTGTATTTTTCAGCTGTTCTTTTGACACCTATTGTTTCGGATTGGGTCAAAATTTCTGCTTTCTGCAGCACACTGTATCTTTTTTTTTTTACCTACAAAAATAAACAATACCTTTGAATTTTTTTTTTTAAATAAATTATATTTTGTAAGCACATTAATTCATTAATGATACATTTTTATTTTATTTTAGGGATTAGTTCTCTTACCCATTTTGATGTAAGTGGGAGTTTCTGGAACAACATTTTCAATTTGAGCTTGTGTCAGTGCTATTGATTTATCTAGATTTAATGAAACAACAGAAATAGAGTTAAAAAAAAACTTTCTTATTTTACATAAAATAAATAACTGAGGTTTACTCTACTTGTCAATTGTAAGACCATAACATAAGTTTACATTATTACCTTGGTTTATACTAAGGATACTCGGTATCTCAAGCTCAGTTATTTCTGTTTGTTCTGTATTTGTACTTGATTCATCTGCAGCTAAAACAATCCCAGCTACAGCTTCATTTAAGTCTGAAACAAATAGCATGCAAAGTTTTGTGCTTCAGCTCAAGTAAAGCCATGATTTTTTAAACCCAGCACCACCACAACACAATATCAATAAATAACACAGTTATCATCTTACCAAGTTCCAAAACCTGAATTTCAGTCTTTGAAGGATGACTCTTCCTTTTCAGGATATTGCAGCTTTTTACTTTCATCTAAAAAAGAAATCATTCATAAATAATTAATTATCTAAAATATATAATATAATATTGATATGGATTATTATTGCATACAATTATTAAACACCAGTTTGTCAAAAAATGTAATACCTTCAATTAACACTCGACCTCTAAAATTTTTTGAAAGGACTTTCAAGCTTTCTAATGAGCTTAGCAAACCTGCAAGGAAGAATATACATCAGTGTTTGAAACACAATAGGTTCAATGACAACACAATAAAGTTTTTTAATAATAAGTACATAAAGAATTCCTTAGAAATTGCTAATAAAAACAGAAGAAATGATGCACAATACTGCAATATAACATGTTTATTAGAAGGCCTACTTCAGAATATTTCTCAAATGTTAGGTTTAGGAATCAGCATGGAATGCAACTTAGTATGAGAACTTAGAAGTTCCAGTCTTACATTACTTACACGATAAATTAAATTTGATATAAGAATATTAGAAATCTACAGGAGTTTAACTATCTCAAATTAAATAAATAATTTGAACTTCAGGAATACAAAGATAAACTCACAATCATAATCCATTGTTTTCCTGGAAAAAATTAAATATTTACTTTGCATTAGTTACTAAAAAGTTTTTACTCATGGAAGAATAATTTGACATGATGAGCATTAAAAAATTTTTTAAAATAATTAATAATTATATATTTTTTTAAAATAGGGCTACATTATAAGTAATTGATTACACCTTTAAAATCTATTATATATTATAAATCATACTAAAATAACTCACAAGGTTATAGCCATCTGTATATTGTATTTGTCTTCTGCTATTATTTGATTTAATTCATTTACAGTGTACAGTTGAGGGTGCTTGAATGGTATCCCTGTAGGCAGCCCAGTGACAGTTATGTTACTACTAAAGTATGGTACTTGAGTATTGAGTTTCATGCAACTTTCTGAAACACACATATTTATAAATGTAAGTTTGTGCACACATAAACAAATCTATTAATTTTAACCATTACCATTTGTCTTTAGGTTGCAAAAGATTTAGACCAGCCAAATAGTTTTTCAATAAAATAAATTTAAATTATATTATTCTTGAACACAATCTAGTGTAGCATATTTTTAAAATTAGAAATGCAAAGGCAATAAAAGGAACATTGTCTTAAATTGACCTACCCCATCTTTCCTGAAAAATCTCCATCACTAATTGGCGCAGTCTGACAGATTTAGTGCAGCTTTGTAATGGATCTGTAAAATAATAAAATATTTTAATAATTACAAATATAGGTAGAAACTACATAAAAAGTATAACACTATAATTGCTCATCTATACAATCATTTAAATATTAAATTCACAAATAAATATTTATAATGCAGATTTAAAATAGGTTTGTATAATAGGTATTCAAGGTCTTAGCCTAAAGTTTAGCAGATATGAACTTTTTCTACATTTAACAAAATATAAAAAAGAATACCAGTATATATAAATATTTCTTTTTTTGGTGAAGTTTTTTTTTTAAATCTCAAAACTTCTTAAATTATTTTAAATTTCTAAAATATATAAGGCCTAATTAAACTCATTGATTATTTCTGCCTGCGCAAAGAAAAAACCCTCACCTTTGCATACAAGATCTATTATGTCTTTTTTTAAATGTTTTGCATTCATGGTGTGGAACACTTCAACTTTGTTAATCGGGTCAAAGTAAGAACTAACACCAATAAATTTTACATTAGCCTTTTCCATATCTTTAACCTGCAAAAAAAAAGTGAACGAATTATTAAGATATTTACATGTATTAGTATTATTAATCTGTTGTATAGTTGACAAGTGATCTTAACATCTTACCAATAATTTTAATCTTTTCTTCAGCCCCTTTACAATATCACTATCCTCGAGCCCATAAAAAGGTTGTTTGTTTTTCTCTTGTGCCTTCCTGTCCATTTCAACTTTTGTCACATGATCAAGCAATTTCCATTCTTGGGAAATTCTTCTTAAAAATGACCTGTTATCTTCATCAGCACCTGAATGATGAAAATATGAACAAAAAGTATCTTTATTAAAAGTCTATAGTTTATCTTAATATGTTGGAGCATAATTATAATTCTAAAAGATGGTTAGCAAACCTTGCTTTTGCATGGCTCTAAATTCATCCCAACCACTACTTCTTTTTCTGGGGAGCTTGCAAACAGAGTTATCCTTTTGCCTCTTCATGTTGTATATGTACTTCTGCAGATATAAATGTATCAGTAAATTAACAGTCAACATGAGCTATTATCAACTTTAATCTATTAGTATACATTTTATTTTAATATTTCAGCATTTAAAACATTAATACATTACTTCAATTCTAAATGGCTCAATTTTGATTTCCCTTGCCAGCTTTCCTATCCATTCCTTATCTCTAGTTGTCATTCCATTTTCAATTGCAGAATTGAGCTGTTTTTTTTCATCAACAGTCAAATACTTCCTCTAAAAAATGTTAATCAAAAAGGTTTTTAAATATAAAGAACAATTAGTAATGGTCATAGTCTAATAACATATCTATTTTTATTATAAATGTTATTGTTTTTAAAATGTAAATAGGCACTGTGATATAATTATAAATACCCTATTGCATTGCTATTGATTATCAATAATTAATCTTCTAATGTAATAAGTAATAGTCAGAGACAGCGTGGTTAGAGCTAATGACTGCTCGAGTTCGGCTCCCATGTTGGAGTCTGTAGGACGTCCCTGAGTCCACCCAGCTCTGATGGGTACCTGACTCACATTACTTATTACGGACAAAGGGCAGATATGAAAAGCAAAGCGGTTAAGAACTGCTGAGGATATAAAATATTAATTATAGATTAACAATCATTATACAAAATATATAGATCTAGATATTCTAGATCTAGCTAGATTAATTTACTTCTAGATTACAATGAGAATGTAGATCTATGTAATAAAATTATTGTAAATGTTTCTATATAATTAGTATTAAATTAATAATAATTAATGATAATCATGATAATGAAATGATAATTTTTATTTTTAATTTAATTAGCTGTCGAGTACGGATTTAATAGATCTAAACTTAGTCTTACACTCACTGAACTCATATTATTTAATAGCAAACTGTACTATAAGGTAAGATAAAGATGCAGATGTAGATCTAGATCTATTTTAGATCTAGATTCCTGATCTCCCAGTTTGGTTTCACCTAACAAGCTTAACTTACAATATTGCGCGAAAATAAGCCATATGGCCAGGAATTTTTGCGATCAGCCATACTTGCCAAAATTGTGTGGTAAAGTACAGTGAAAATAAATTAATTAAAAAAAAATATTCTCCGTATTGGGCCATTTATATATATATATATATATATATATATATATATATATATATATATATATATATATATATATATATATATATATATATATATATATATATATATATATATATATGTATATATGCATATATATAATTTCAAATAACCTACCCCCAGCGCCAGCAACATCTTTACCGTGTGAAATTTAAGAAGGCTTTTGAGTATGGCAAGATGTAATTTGGACCATCATAAGGAAATACAACATCAAACAAAATCTTAAAATAATTAAAATAATACAAAACGGGACGTAGTGGCCCTGGGACGGGGTACCTAACCTTACAGGGAAAGTGAAGGCGGCTGGGCATAGTGCTGACCACACTATTCCTTCATATGCCGATGTCACAGAAACAGATGAACTCTGCTTCACTTGCCGTCAGCTTTGGAAGGAGAACTTTACTTACACATGGCTAAACGTCAAGCGCATCGTAACTCAACAATATGAATGGGTCCGTATATGAGAATACGTTCTTCTTAGCCCCGTCACTAATGCAGAAAGTGTACGGGCCAAAAGTTAAAAACAACTTCTTATCTGTCGATAGGGCTAGGGTTAGGGTTAGGGTTAGGGTTAGGGTTTGGGCTAGGGTTAAGGTTAGGGTTAGGGTTTGGGCTAGGGTTAGGGTTAGGGAATAATGGAAGATGATTTAGAAAGCTATAGGGTTAAGGCTAGGGTTAAGGTTAGGGTTAGGGAATAATGGAAGATGATTTAGAAAGCTATAGGGTTAGGAAATAATGGAAGATGATTAAGAAAGCTTTACGGCTAGAGTTAGGGTTAGGAAATAATGGAAGATGATTTAGAAAGCTATAGGGTTAGAGGTTGTGGAGCTGACAATATCGTTGATTCATAAACTGGGGTTGGTGAGAAAATTTCTGCTCAAAAGAAGTGTGTGGCACTTTGATAGATAGCGCCAGAACTCTCCGTGAGTTTTTCTCCACGTGCATATGCTGTGGTTTTTTTTTTTTTTGTAGCTGAGTATATCTTAATTTAGTTACCGTTTTGCATACGTTAAAATTTTTTGCTACATCAAGACAAGACATATATTGCAAGGTTTCATCAAGTAGTTCTACTAGTTCCGCGTGTCTTTACTCCAGCACTACATCTGCAATAGCAATTTTATATTACTTTAAGTAGAAAATGTAGAGCCTCGAAGTGCGTTACCTTAAATGTCGGGGCTGATATTTCTGCCCTCATCACTTTATAATCCCAACCAGTCTTAATTCCTAAACATTAAGTGAATGAAACACTACCAAGCTAGCTAATGCCCCGTCCAGAATAACTTCCACTTTAACAAAGTGAGATTTATTTTGTTTTTATTGGTATCTGTTGGTTTCATAGACGTCTGCATCCATAAATGACGTCACGCTTTTTTGGACGATTTTTACCTCCCCCCTTCCCTCCGTCACACGTCGTCACAAAATTATGGACCCCCCTACCCCCTACAAGTGTGACGTCATTTATGGATGACCCCATAACAGTTTTTCAAAAAGTTAAATGTGTAACATGTTCTCTGAGTGACACTGGCAGATTAGGTATAAGGGAAAATTGAAATATAACTATTGTAACACCAACATTTGTTTTGTAAACTGAATTTAATTTGATACTTTTAGTGAAGTCAATAGATCAGCAACATAAAATTCAAATGGAAATTTTAATTATGATAGCAGCAGTGGAAGTAGGTCTTCATTAAAATAAAAACAGTTTGTTGGGCATACAATTTTTTGTTATTAAATTTGTATCACATATGACACTCATTTGTACATACTCTGTTAGACTAAAAAATTGCATCAAGACTGGTAAGAGCTTATCATTATGCATGTTTCAAACTTAACAAAGATAATGTGTTAAAAAAAATTCTATACAATCAAGACAATGTATTGATTGGTGTAAAAACTAACAAAAACTATTTAATTAAAATAATGGTAGGCTGTTAAAGCAACCTATTGTCATTTGGGCTAGAACACATACATGCATTAAAAGTATTTATAACGTAGGGTAAGAAAACCAACCATATATAATACAGATCTAACCTACAAAATAGGTTATAATTTTAAAAAGGCTAATATGACTAAGCTAATACAGCAGCAAAAAGTTATAGTAAAACAACATTGTAAATTAAACATCAGTATCTTCATCATCCTCATCTTCAATCATTGAACTATTGGCATCTACCTCACCTGAGTCTATACTTAAAATATCTTCACTATTTTCAAAATTAACAAAATCATGTTCATTAACAACAGCAAATTTGGAAAATTTAAGATCAGATAGAAAGGGTGTAAATAAATCAAGAAGAAAATTAAAGTACAATTGTAATCTAAACATGTCAAGAAAAAGTCTAGGTCGAAATTTTGTAATGATTATTCTACAAGCTTCATTTATGTGATTAATTTGAAGTTCATAAAAATTTAAAACAGAAATCATTTCTTTTTTAATCAATTCATCTTCTTCATGACATCTTAAAATAATATTATTTAAATCAATTGTTTGCCTTTTTAAAAGCTCTATCCCATAATTTTGAACCCATGAAGAATCAGATAAATTTATAACTTGATTAAAAGTAACTGGGATTAGTTCTGATTTGTTGTGATCATCTATAGCTTTTTGCAGTTTCTTAGCGTTTGTGGAAAGTTGTCTGCTAATTCTCTTAGCAATTGATTGGCCTCCTAGGAGAAAAAATTAATTGAATGATTAAACAATTATTATTCTAAAATGCTTTATGTATATTTTTGTTTAACAATTTAAAGGCATATTTGATATAATAACTGACTTGCATATTTCCTGATCTGCTCCTTCAAAAAATGACGCTCAATAGCAAAGTTCTGTATTAGCAGAAATGAATCCTTCTTTGCAGATTTTTTCACTGGTAATAAAAAAATTATGTTTCATATTAATTTTTCATAATCAGATATATTTTACTAACTTATGCTAGTACTATATTCATCATGATAATTACTTACTGCTTATATCCTTTTGAACAGATTCAACTTCTTCTTTAGTCCATTTTGATATAATTTCTTGGTTTATGTCTGTAACATTTTAAAAGTTTATCATTTATTTTGCAAACACTTTTTGATTGCAAATTACTTAGAACATTTTAAAAGTAAGTATAGGTAACCTGGGTGAAGCTGTTGTAACTCTGCTAAAGATTTGATGGCAGTTTCTTTGACTACAGTTGCTCTTCCGAGCCGTGCAACTAAAGAGTGGCCTAAGATAAAAGAATGACTTTTTGTATTGTGTACAATATATTCTCAACAAAATATGTATGAATTAATAGCTTGTTAAAAAGTTAAAAAACAACAACCAGGCTATATAGGCCTATTTTTAATTATTAACCACAAAAAGTCATAACTATACTATAATAAGATAATAGCAATAGAATTCATTATCAATTAAAAAAAATATACCTATATTCTTCTTTTTTCTCTCACTAAAATGTAGAAGTCCATCTGACAGCATATCTTGTCTAGTTTCAGGCTTCATTTCTTTACAAATTTTTGAAAACTTGCCTAAATAAGACCAAAGCCTTTCTATCCCTTCTCCATCTGTCAATCCAACTCCCTCAATTCTCCTTGGATGATATAATATCTAAAAAGGTGCAAATTTTAAAAGTTATAATTGAAAGTTTCTGTGCAGTGGGTACAATAATTCTGTCATACTACCTATTACCTGACATTGTCTTTGATGACCATAGCAATGGAAGATTGGCACCATCATCTGACATTTTTTTAGTAAGGCTGGGTTATTTTTCTATAAAATAAAACATGAGATTATGACTAATTTAATAACTATGTTTGAACTATGTTTAATTTATTTTAATTTTAATTAAATGTGTCAATTTTAATGTTACCTGCAAATGTTTATTTAGCTTGCAAGCGATGTCATATGATATGATGAGCTTGCTTCCTTGAAAATTATCTACAAGTTTTTCTAGAAAGTACACTGGATAAGCAAGTCTGCAAAATAAAATTAAGTGAACTAAATTGATATTACTTCAAAAAATACATTTATTTAATGTATCAATACTCATTCTTTGTTTATTGGGGTAAGAATTAGCTGTGCACAATCTGATAAATTATGAACTTACCTTTAATGTTAAATTTTAAATATGTATTTTTTGCAAACAATTACACTAAAATCCGTTTCACATTTTTTAAAAGAAGAACTTTATTGAAAGTTTGATGAGCTAATTTTGCCCAATGAAAAAATAATTTAATAAATACTTGAAACGATGAAATTAGGTACACTATATAAAATAAAATTTAGTCACACTACCTTTCTCCATGTTTTAAACTGGCAAATTTATTGGGAATTTCATGTCGACAGACTGACCCAAATATACCTTTGTCCGAAAGTTTTACGTTTTTGGATTTTGATCGTAGATTGTTTCCGGCTTGGAAATCCGAACACTGATCCTAAAGAAAAAACTGCAACTGTACTTCAGATAAATGTAAATTATTTAAGGCTTTAGCAATAATAACTATCTATCTAGTTCAACTTACATTTGCAACACTTTCTTCCTTATAAGTTGAAACAAATGTTTCAACAGCATCTTGTTGATGGAAAAAAACCTGTCTTGTTGGCGTTTCCCATTGTCTCCCTGCTGATGCTTTCCGCACAAGTTGAAAATCTGCATCCAGGCAGATGATTTTGGTTGAAGCCTTTAAAGACATGTAGTTGGTGGGAATTTAGTATTATATTTTTTATTAAAAAAAAAAAAAAAAAAAAAATTACATACATTAAAGCAAGCAGGACACTGAGTGCCATCATCAAGACCATCAACAAATTCAACAGGGTGTTCCACCCCATACATGAAATGTTTAAATTCTTCAAATGCTTCTAAAAAGCATGAAGAGTATATATTTTTCTGAAAAAAAAATTGTGTATATATATATATATATATATATATATATATATATATATATATATATATATATATATATATATATATATATATATATATATATATATATATATTTACATATAGTTTATTGACTTTTTAATTTTTTAAATCACTTAACAATTGACAAAGAATGATTGGTAACTCACAAACTGAGAAATGCGTCTAGCTTCTGGAGGACTATTAAATTCCAGAGAGCTGCAAAAGGTTTTAATGGGCACATGGCCTTCTAAAAGAAGACTTCTCATTTGAACGAATAGTTCAACATGATATGCCACTTTTGGTATCATTGGAGAGCCTGCCCAGAGACCCAATTTCAGTAGTGTTACAGGTTGCTCCTCACAGCTACAAAACATAATCTTTCTGATGTGTTCTCTGCCTAAAAATATTTTTTTTCGCCAATTAGAATTTTAGAGAACAATTAGTTCCAGAGCATAATAACATTATTATAGTTTAAATATGTATTGATTCTACCTTTTTGATCAACAATGATTAATTGGCTAGTTGTTTTTTCACCCTTACAGTCATGTGGTATTTGCCAAATCTGGTGCTCATAAATATTCTGGCTGCATGGCATGAATGTTCCATCCTATGGTAATAATGATAAAAATATAAACAATACAATTTTCTTCATTTAGTCAGTGAAACCTATGTTCTATTAATTAAAAGATGTAAAATTGACTGTATAAATATATTACCTGCCAAATGCTGAACATGTGAAGGTGTGGGTAGGCATGTTGTTGTAGCAGGCAAGATTCACACATTTCCATGGCAAAAGGTGCACAGTCATCACATCGATAATGTGCACCTGTATCTATTGGACATGAGCAAAATGTGCAGTTTTTAAAACTGCGTTCAAGTTTTGCTAATCCAACAGCAATAAATTTAGCCCGTAGATCTTGCCAAACTGCTAATCTTTTGTTTTTGTTAACTGTAACATTAAAATAATGTAATATTAAAACAATATTAGTGTAAACTACAATTTTAGTTTTACTAACAAAAGAATTAAAAATGTAAAACTACTTACTAGTGTAAGCAGATTCTTTTTGTTCATCTTCTTCATCTTCAGCATCACTTTGTATCATTTCTAAATTATCATTAGTGGTAAAGTTTCCGGTTTTTCTAGACTTTGATGTGCCTGGTTTTTTTTCTGCCGGATTGTACCATCTTGTTGCACGTCCCCCAGAAGCATAACAGTATATCTTCACTGGTATCCCCTGTACAGAAATTAAACAATGAGCCTATTTGTAAAAAATATATACATTAATTAAATTTATTTTGTTAATAGCTGCAATACACTATTTTCAATTAAGTCTTAAGCAAAAAATATAATAAAATAATTAATTGACAGTGATATTTCTTTCATTCAGCCGGTCTACCAGGAAAAACCCATGTGCCCCACAGAGACAAATCTTGATAGGCCTCCATGAAATGTGCTGTATTAGTTCTTTTAATGTTTTGATTTTAAAAAAAATGATTTGTAGGTATTTCTCCAGGCTTTGATAGAGAAAAAATGCTCGGTGAAAACTTCTATCCAAGGTTGTGGGCCCTTTTAAATATTTCCCAAGCCTCTTGGACACAGTCCACCAATGTTAGTGCTGTTGACTATAACTTTCCCTGGCTAACTAATAATTTTGCTAGACTAATGTTCAAAACTAATAAATATTAAATTCATTATGCTTATTATTACTCATTTTTATAAATTATATTAATTGTTTATTAAACCTAGAACTTATAAAGCTACCTATAGACCTGCAAAATAAAAAAAAATTATCATATAGGCCGAAATAGTGACTTTGTTAAATTATTACATTTAAATATTAGTAATTACTAACAGAATTTCTTCCAGGTATTCTCTCCTCCCCCCCCCCCCCCCCCCTCCAGCCAGAGAAAAATTCTGGAAGAAACACTGATTACTAATTAAGCCTGTAAAAATGGTAAGGTTTTAAATTATAATCCTTATTAATTTAATCTTAATCTTTCTTAAATTAATCAGACCCGGGTCTGATTAGCCATGGCCGCTATTAGGACTAGAGTCCTTATAGACTTGGCCACAATTCAGACCAGACATTAAATTTGTTGACATTTAATTACACAATAATACTTTTTAAGATGTAGAATATATATTTTCTGTTGTTATGACTTCTTTCTTGTAATTCCATAAACATCTAGAGATCTTGCTTTAAATATCCTATATCATTTCTGACAAATGTCATGGCAAAGATTAATCGTTAGGTCTATTATATATGGCCTATGGTATAAACTTCTCAGACCCAATGAATGTTGGGCGTGCATGTAAAATGATCCATTATTTTTTCTCATCTTATTTAACCGTAATTTAATTTTATAGTAAATTATAGGCCTATCAGTCCAAAATTTTAAAAAATTAAAAAACTATAGAATAGCTGAATTAAGGCTACAACATCTGGGGGACAAATAAAAGTGGTGTCATTAGCAATCTTAAATAGCAATGTTCTTGCTATGTTGCCTATGTTGTATGCTATAGGCTTACACTACTGATATCTAAACCAAGATAACGTGAGCGGGCAATCATAAGAGCAACAACGTTTAGAAATGACATATTTAAATATCTAAATCTAGGAATCTATACTTGCGACAGAACTAGCTTAATTTAATACTATTTTTCTCGCACAAAACTAAGTGATTTTCAAGGAACAAGTGAAGAGGAATTCCTGTTCAGTTTGGTTCTAGTCCAGTAACTCCCAATATTTTTAATAGCACGACATTCTCCACCCGATCATGATGTCTTTTGTTAAATAATCAATATTTAATGATTTTGAATATAGGGCTAAATATAGAGTATTTACATATAGAAGGACCTAACAGTAGCAAATCCACAAAAACTATTTAACACACACACAAAACAAAAATAAGATACTTGCAAACCCACAAGAAAAATCAAATAAACATAAAATGTATAATTTTATGTTAAGCTATCGACTGAACTTAATGCAGGGTCAGAATAGCGGCCAGGACTGTATGGACCCAGGTCCTAATAGTAGCTGGGGCTATTAGGAACAGGATACCTATAGCCCTGACCTCTAATTAAATAGAGGGGCTAGACTTGGTAGTAATTAGTATATTTTAAGAAGCCTAATAGTAATTATACTTATGAAGTGACTACTCAGAAGAAGCTTAGTACTCCCAGTGATAGTCTGGCTGGCAGAAGATGCAAATCGCAATGACCTATTTTAATAGATGCACAATTGGCTCAAAATAGAGGCCGATGCTAGCCGGAATAAGATACGCATGCGCAATGGAGAGAAACTACGACTTGCCTTCGCGGCGATGTTTTCGATGGTACTGGGCATGCGTGTGTTTACAACCGCAGAACCCTAATACCAACCCTAACCCTAACCCTATCCCTAATCCTATCCCTAACCCTAGCCCTAATCCTATCCCTATCCCTAACCCTACCCCTAACCCTCATTCTAGCCCTAACCCTAGCCATATGTCACTGCGCATGCGCAGAGCTATCTTTTGCCGACTAAGTGGAGACATTGGGGAGAAAAATCTTCTTCCGAGTAGTCACTTCGCAAAATAAATACTATAATTAATAGCTGTGCAATGGGCTAAAATTTATGAAATTATCCTTTTATAGCTGCTTAGTGGGATCAGTTTTCCTTTTTAGCCATATTCTTCGGACAAAACTATCTGACAGATAGTATCTGTACTGTGTGTTCAAGCAGTTGCGCTTGCATGGGTCATCATCAATGGGATACGAGTATTTCTTACTATTTATTATTATATTAAGGAGGGTTTGTAGTATAGTTTTAGTATATCTAGGAAATATTTCTATTCTAGTCTATTTAGTTGAGTATAAAATATTTTTAAAAATCTCTTTTAATAGCCTGTTTTAATATATTATTTAAGTAATTTTAGGCCTACTAAAACTTAAAAGTTTTAGTTAAGTAAAAATAAAATTAAAACAACTGCTTCTACTAAGTTTTGTTTTACCTCTTCGTCTTCAATTCTTTCCTGTTTTCTTTTAGGAGGCATAACTGTGAATGGGTCTATATACTAGAATTCACTTTTAAGCTGTAATTAGTAAATAATTAGTGATTGCGAAACGCTTAGATATATATTATATATATACTAAGAGAAAAACGAGCGTTTAGGATTGTAATAGATTGAAATAATTGTGAGGTCAAGGGAACTCACTCTTCTGTATTAGTATTATATTTATATTGTTATCTTGAGTGATGTCCCTTACATGTTATCTATAAATAGTTCTCTCTCGCCATTTTCTCTCTCTCTTTGCATGATGGCGTCTGTACATAATAAAGACTGTTAACAACCAACGCGGCTTCTCGTCAGTCATTACAATCCACGTCATTTGGCGACGAAGGATAAACATCTACTAGAAAGAGCACCTACTTACGCAAAAAAGAGGTTTGCTAGAGCTTATTAGCTAATTATTTCTAGAATTATGGCGCTGTATGGCCAAATAAAAGAATTTGATGCGAATGATGAAATCATTCAAGATTACCTAGAGAGGTTAAGCTTTTACCTAGAAGCTAACAACGTGACGATAGAAGCCAAAAAGAGAGCTGTTTTGTTAACAGTCATAGGGCCTCAACAATTTAGGCTACTAAAAGACTTATGCGTACCAGCTGGTCTAACTACCAAGAGCTTTAACGAGCTGAGCAAATTGCTAACAGACCACCATGCGCCTACCCCATCAAAGTTTTTATGTAGAGCTAGATTTGACAGTAGGACTCGTCAACCAAACGAGTCAATATCAGAATATGTTGCTGCTTTACGTCATTTAAGTGAATTTTGTGAATTCGGAGACACGCTGTCTGACAGATTATGTGAAAAGTTTGTGACAGGTGTAAACAGCCCTGATATTCAAAGAAGGTTGCTGCTCGAGTCAGATCTAACATTAGAAAAAGCAATACAACTTGCAACTTCAATCCAGCAGTCATCAGATGCGGCGAAATCACTAACGCCTTCAGGGATCCATGCAGTAAACAGCAGGTTAGTCAATAAACACCAACCCCAACAGAGCATTCCAACTTATGCTAAACACCCTGCTCGTTCAAATCCTAGATCTAAATCTAGTAATAATTATCAAAAATGTCATCGATGCAAAGGTCCCCATGCATCTCATCGGTGCAAGTTCAAGTCTGCAACTTGTTATAAGTGCAGTAAGCAAGGTCACATTGCTAAGGCCTGCTTTGCAAAGTCTTCGTCTGTTGCTAAATCTAGCCAGTCAAGACAGTACCGCAACCAAAGGCAGCACTATGTTAACTCTCACCAAGACTACCTAACCCAACCAATGAACCACTCTACCTGTGAAAATGCTCAAACTGATTCGCAGCCGGATTTCAACCTATTCTCTGTGAAATCAATAAGTCATGCTCCCATCAATGTACAAGTTAATATCAACGGTAAGAGCATCAGCTTCCAACTTGACACTGGAGCATCACTAACAGTCATCACAAAGAAAGATTTTGACGCTGTCACAGAAGGATCAGTGTCTCTACAGCCGTGTCACAAGTGTCTAACAGCATACACTGGTGACAATGTTCCGGTAATAGGAGAGTGTATGGTTCATGTAAGTTATAATGGTCAAAGTGTTAAACTTCCTCTTCTTGTGGTTGAAGGAAATGGACCGCCATTACTAGGTAGGAACTGGTTAAGTGATCTTAAGTTAAATTGGGAGAGTATTTGTTCATTGAAGAATGTAAAAGAATCTAGTCTTACTTCACTAGATAAAGTTATATCTGAAAATAAATGTGTTTTTAGTAATCCAGGATTACTAAATGATAGAACAGTGAAGTTAAGCATTAAAGATACAAATCCAAGATACTGCAAAGCTAGAGTTCCACCTTATGCAATGAGGAATAAAATTGAAAATGAGCTAAGCAGATTAGAATCTAATGGCATTATAAAGAAGGTAGACTATTCCGATTGGGCGACACCCATTGTGCCAGTGTTAAAGAAGGATGGTTCTATAAGAATTTGTGGAGATTATAAAACTACACTGAATAAGCAAATAGAGCTAAATAGGTACCCTATACCTAACATTGAGGAAATTTCTTTGAATTTGGCAGGAGGAGACAAATTCACTGAATTAGACTTTAGTCATGCTTACACTCAACTAGAACTGCATCCAGATTCAAAAGTCTATACGACAATAAACACACATAAAGGACTCTACCAATATGAAAGACTATGTTTTGGCATATCATCTAGCCCTGGAATCTTCCAAGCTGTCATGGACAGTATTTTTAAGGATATTCCAAATGTTTGTGTGTACTTTGACAATGTGTACATAACTGGTAAGAATGACACTGAACATCTTAAAACACTTGATAAAGTATTGAAAATTGTTGGTGAAAAAGGTTTAAAGATAAACAAAGATAAATGTCAATTCATGCTGACAGAAATTAGTTTTCTTGGTTATATATTAAGCAAACAAGGCATCAGACCTCAACCTGAGAAAACAAAAGCCATTAAAGAAGCACCCAAACCTGAAAATACCCAACAACTAAGAGCTTTTTTGGGCTTAATAAATTACTATGCAAAGTTCATAGGAAATCTGTCTGGTAAACTATCACCACTGTACAAGCTGCTACAGAAAGATGCAACTTGGCACTGGGGTAAACAACAAGATACTGCTTTTAATACAGCAAAAGAGGCTTTGTCTGCTGACACCTTACTAACTCACTATGACCCAGGGAAAAGACTTATATTAACATGTGATGCTTCACCAGATGGTGTAGGAGCAGTCTTGTCCCACATGGATGAGAAGGGTGACAGACCCATTGCTTTTGCCAGTAGATCTTTGAACCAGGCTGAGAAAAATTATTCTCAGTTAGATAGGGAAGGCTTAGGCATCATTTTTGGTGTTAAGAAATTTCATAAGTTTCTGTTTGGTAGGAAGTTCACCATCTTTACAGATCATAAACCATTGCTAGGTTTATTTGGAGAAAACAAAACCCTACCTGAGCATGCCTCACCAAGAATTCAAAGATGGGCTATCACACTAACTGCATACAATTATGAATTGAAATACAAACCTGGATCTGAGAATAGTGCAGATAGCCTTAGTAGATTACCTTTAAAAAACCAAAGCCTGAGCTATGTACCAGAAGATGTATTTGTTCTCTTCACTATCATGGATAACTCCAATATAAATGTGAATGATATTAAGAGAGAAACACAAAAAGATGAGTGCTTAATAAAAGTATCTGATTACTGTAAGAATGGTTGGCCTGAAGAGTCTGTGAATGATGACTTAAGGCCATATTAAATAAGAAATAAAAACCTTTGTGAAGATAATATAAAAGATGGAGAAGATGCAGTCCATTATCAGTCAGAATTGCCTAAACAAAGTATTTGTAACTTAATAAATGATTATGGTGATATGGCAATTTCAAATGTTTTAAAGAGAATACATTAGTAAGAAGGAATGTGATCATCAAACAACTTTGCTAACATCATTAGCACTTACAGAAACTAAAAGGGTAACATCAAAAGAAAAAAAAAAAAAAAGATTTTTGCCATTTAATACACCCACTTCAAATACTGGATCACAGTTGCAAAGTGATATGGTCCAGAATATTACTTGTAAACAGTATTTTTGGTTACCAGGAAAGCACTATCAGATTACCTGAGGAAATTGATCAATCAAAGAAATCTATGTCAGTCAAGGATCTGAATAACAGCATAATACTTTCAGATGCCAATTCAAAAATAGTTCCATTAAATCATGACAAAACATTCATTGAAGGAGAATTTGGTGTTAATAAGAATGTGTATCTAAGAAATTATGGGAGAAAGGAAAAATGGATACCAGGTCAAATTGTTCAAGTACAGGACCTGTGCCTTATAAAGTTAAAAATAACTTGTGCAGATAATAAGTGTGAATCTATCAATCCCACCAAGTCTGATCAGTTCACACCAACTCAGTTTGTTCTACAACCAAGTTCTGTTGATATGAGTGAACCAAGTTGTCTGGAGTCAGAAAATGTAAATTCTGGAGTTAATGATTTAAATCCTAGACCTCCTGAGATAGAGAATCCAGATGGTCAGAATCTTGAGTCACCAAATCAAAAGCCACTGAGAAGGTCAAGCAGGACAATCAAAGTCCCAAATAAGTTAGACCTATGATTCTAAAGGTCAAAAGGACTTTGACATTATTGTTTTGTATTTTGATTATGTTGTAGCATATTGTGCATTGTTTGTAAGGATGTAATCTACCATAGTGTTCATGTTACAATATAATTGGTGATTTTAGGATACTATCAATTGTTCTATTGAGAGATGTGTTATTGTGTTCTAAGGGTAAAGGGATGTAATAGATTGAAATAATTGTGAGGTCAAGGGAACTCACTCTTCTGTATTAGTATTATATTTATATTGTTATCTTGAGTGATGTCCCTTACATGTTATCTATAAATAGTTCTCTCTCGCCATTTTCTCTCTCTCTTTGCATGATGGCGTCTGTACATAATAAAGACTGTTAACAACCAACGCGGCTTCTCGTCAGTCATTACAATCTACGTCAAGGATCTCTATGGTGAATCCAAAATGGTGGATATATTTCTCGTTTCGTTTCTTTTTTTTTAAACCATAAAATATAGAGTCTTCGGAGTTTTGAGTTTTTTATTAATTCTCTACGACAATCTTGTCTGAGAACGATTGGAAGGGTCTTATTCTCAGCGACACAGTTGTAGAGAAACTCAACAATTTTGTCGTTGAGACAATACGCATGGGGTGCACAAATGTATGTGATCACAGTTCACGTCAGATTCTTTTATTTTTACAACTGTTGTGAACACACGGACACGCCTTTCGGGTGATTCGATGAGTAGCGCAACACATAAGCCAAACAACCACAAACGGGTTACAAAACAAGACTGAATGAAACAAAGGTTTGTTGAAAACTAAATTATTTTAATAGTATATACACTATCTACACCTAACACAGTCTATTCTAAACACAAAATACATAAGCTAGTAAAACTATGATACAGTGGCTAAATACTAGCATAGATCTAACCTATATTAACCTTGGAGCTCTGGACGAAACTGAGGCAATCACACACGTTTTCAAACATCTCATATACCCTTTCATAAACTGGTACAATCCGGACTATTGCAACTCACAGCACGAGAACTGAACAGGAAAAAGGAAATAGGGTATTAACAGGTACAAATAACATTCACCCCCATTCATCCCCCTTCATTCGTTCACTACAATAACCAAATGGAGTTCTTTGTTTTGTTTGATTACATTGTCCCAATTTTGTTACGATTTAACTTTATATCACACGTGTCAAGTATAAATAGCAGAAAGATGAAAACACAAACATAGCATTTTGTCAAGACAGGCAACTCACGCTAAGCCAATGTCACACAAAATAATGGTTTTTTTTTATCATCAAAAGTTCACTCTAAGGACAGCTTTATGACTCCTCAAAAACAGCTCCCTCCCTTTACCCATCGGGTAGGACAGCCCTGTTGGGGAGAGTGATCGGGATAAAATTAGAACACATGTCTTCAGTTCCACGATAAACAATAGTTTTAAAATATTCTGGAACTTTCTTCAGTTTTGGCTGGTCAGCGGGATCCTTGCTGGGGTCATTCCCGTGTATGAGGAGCTTCCCACCGTAGGTCAGGGCACCATTTAACCTTTTCTTGAAATTCCAAAGTTGTGCAATACATTTGAATTCAACTCTCTGATAGCAGGCTGAGACTACTAGCTTCCATAGACTGCCGCTAGTTTGCAGGATGTAGCTGTTTTTATCATCTCTAAAACTGACCAAATGTTCTGCAGGTCCCTCCAAGTTGTCCAGCCTGCTCCAGACTTTGGTGCTGATGTCCAGCATGTGGACAGCCGTCTCGTCCACTTCGTTGTGGGTGATCGAGCAGAAGACTAAGAGAAAGTTTTCGATGGCCATAGCGTGGCTGACATTGGCGACAGTTTCTGGGCAGTCTATATATTTTAACAGTCTCGGAGTTTTCAGTTTCGGTTTGACGCAATATATTGTTTTATTGCTCTTGTTTATGATGTAAATAAAATGGCCGTGTGAAACCAAAAGCAGGTCCTTGCTTGGCATTTGTAGAACTATAGCCCAGGTATTTTCACACAACACCAGCATTTGACACGGCCCATTTGGGTAATTAGCGTTCTGCATTCCAATAGCATAAAGCTCATTATCAAAGTTAACAATTTTAACATCACGCTGTAGATAATCGCTGGTTGAACACGTATGCCATTTTTCATTATCCGCCCCCAAAAAATCAAAAGTACCATTACTCCGTGCTTTTACGCCAAAGTGGGTATATCCGCTACATAATCGTTGTATAGCGCTAGATGACCACTGGCCATGTCTGTAGTCTAGGACATGGTAGGAGAAAGCGTTAACAATGATCTCTCTGGCGTCCCTGTTTTCTGAGATCAGTCGCAGTTTGAGAACCCGTGTGAGGGCTCTAGGACTCACTAGGCACATTCTGACCAGACTTAGCAGTGCTGTTAGTTTATCCTGTCTGGACAGCCTGTCGCCGGCTGTTTGGTCCGCCTGTCCAACAGTCTGGTCAGTGCTGTCCTGGACCCTCAAGGATAATTTTTCCTCAGATTCAATTTCTTTTTCTTCTCCTTCTTCGACCGATGTCTCTTTACATTGGTTTAATTGAGAGCCGCCCTCGACCCACCTCATTACAGAACTCAGGACTAAATCTTCTCTCGTGACCACAAGTTCTTGGCTTTGAAGCAGTTCACAAAGTTCGTGGTACGGAAACTCTAGAAATGTGGGAGCGATGCAAACAGCATCAAAGTTTTTCAACAGGAAAGAATTTACCTCATCTGAAACACATTTGGAGTTTAAAAGCTTGGCGTTTCGATAAATTTCCTCCCACATGTTGATTGATATGGATTGGATGGCGAAATGTTGGCAGGATTTGATCATGAAGTCAATCTGTAGCTGGTGGACAGCCTGCCAAACGTCGATAAAATTTTCTAACGTCAGGACATCAAGACCGGAGTAGATGGCCTTGAGAACCAGTTCAAACACGGGGACGGGGATACCCTTCAAGACCAGGCTGCTCTCTGTTGCCTCCCTCATGCCAGACCTGAACATCCCTTGAAAGAAATTAGAGCACGCGCCGAGGATTAATCGATGGCATCTGATCGAGACCTGATCGATCACGACGGTAAAGTCAAACAGTTGTTTTGTTGACCAAATACTCTCAAGACATTTGACAATCTCAGAACAGTGATCAGCTGAACTCATCTTGATACACTACCTGTAACATGTCAAATAGGACTGCAGATTATTATTTTACAAAAAGTAAGTATATATGTATGTATGTATGTATGTGCGGGTGAACGTGTGTGTAAATATAGGCATAAATATGCGTAAGTCTACCTTTGTGTGAATATATAAACATATAAATATACGCAAGTCTACATTTTATAACCTTTATGACAACTCACCAAATGCAATATTTAAAGCAAACTTTGACACAGCAAGACGACAGACACAACGATCAATGATATATTCCTTCCTTGTGGAAACTACACACCGCTGGTTTCGATTGGCTATTTATTAATCGGGGTACGCTTATCATCATGGGGCCAATATGATATCGGGGTAAGCTTATCATCCGGCATGGGGCCAATATGCCACCCGTCGTCAGTCTTAAGTCCTACTCTTATCGCTTTGAGAAATAGCTACCTTTCTATTCGAGTTCATTGGCGTTTGTTTTGAGAAATTAGTTTTATTTTCTGTAAATAAGATCTATTCATAGACCGAATGTTGTGTTTAGAAGAAACGCATCCCACATGTTTACCGTGAAATTAAAACCAAATATTGTTATTTTACTTTAAAGGAATCCTCTCTCTTATACGGAGGGAAGGGCGGCACTTGGGGTAGATTTTACAGAAGAATTTCTGTTAGGAGTAGTTTCTGTTAAGAGTAGTTTCTGTTAGGGTAGTTTCTGTTAGTAGTTTCTGTTAGGAGTAGTTTCTGTTAGTAGTTTCTGTTTGGAGTAGTTTCTGTTAGGTGTAGTTTCTGTTAGGTGTAGTTTCTGTTAGGAGTAGTTTCTGTTAGTAGTTTCTGTTAGTAGTTTCTGTTAGTAGTTTCTGTTAGTAGTTTCTGTTAGTAGTTTCTGTTTGGAGTAGTTTCTGTTAGGTGTAGTTTCTGTTAGGAGTAGTTTCTGTTAGGTGTCGTTTCTGATTACATAAACTGAAATGGTAGGCCATGCAATAAGAACAAATTTTATGTGAAATACTGATGGTTTTTTTTCGTGTTTGATTTTTAAATAGCTTTATTAATACATTTTTTTTAAAACATTTAACCACAAAATATCAAATTTTAAATGGATAATGAATGTGTGATGCGCTTTACACGACTCAGCAAAAATGCACTTTGGCCATAATCCTTCCCAGCCCTGGCCATAATCCCACCCAGCCCAACTTTTACTTGACCCACGGCCCAATACACTTGTATAGGACCTATGTATAGAACTTGACTAGACAAGAATCTGTTGGAAAAGTGACAAGTGTACGCCAGTTGGGCGGCCTTTCAAGCCAATCTCCCATTGAAAGCATCCCATGTGTGGCCTTCTCAAGTGGTGGAGGCAGACGTCAACTTCCTATCCTGCGTTGTACAACGTTGGTGTTGCTTAACGTCTCAGTCCGCCTAGTGTCTGATATATCACGGTACGGCGAGAAAGTCTATCGCGACAAAATCGTTTGTCTCAGACTTCTATCTTTACCAAATTACTGACAACGCATTGCACACTAACGCGGTAAATAAAACATTCAAGGGACATAACTATGAAATATATATAATACAAGGGACGTAATAATAACTAACAAGACATAACACTTGTTTGTTACTCCTTGCAGACTAAAAGTTCTCCGCGACGGCCCTGATCATTGTGGCGTTATCGAGTTATCTATCCTTGTTCTTCCGCCGTCGTTCTCCGTTCATTTCCGACCATCCGCGTCAACATCCGCCTATCCAATCAAATTTCTTTTTACATTTCTCTCTTCTACCCTATGTGTTTATGAATCACTGCTAAGCGTATATCTACAAGGTGCAAACGTAACATCATGCTGCCAATAATCATTGACGGATAGATCTAAGTTCATCTCATATAATCGCATAGTAATACATGGTGTTTCATTGAATTTCTTTAACACCTTATAGTAAACTTTCATCCCACGCTAATTTAAAATTTTATACAACGCTAATGTTAACTTTTATACCACGTTAATGTAAACTTTCATACCACGCTAATGTGTAAACTTTCATACCACAGTAATGTAAACTTTTATACCACACTAATGTAAACTTTTATACCACACTAATGTGTAAACTTTCATACCTCACTAATGTAAACTTTTATACCACACTAATGTAAACTTTTATACCACACTAATGTGTAAACTTTCATACCTCACTAATGTAAACTTTTATACCACACTAATGTAAAATTTTATACCACACTAATGTAAACTTTTATACCACACTAATGTAAACTTTTATACCACACTAATGTAAACTTTTATACCACACTAATGTAAACTTTTATACCACGTTAATGTAAACTTTCATACCACACTAATGTTAACTTTTATACCACGTTTAATGTCAACTTTTATACCACACTAATGTAAACTTTTATTCAACGCTAATGTTAACTTTTATACCACGTTAATGTAAACTTTTATACCACACTAATGTAAACTTTTATACCACACTAATGTAAACTTTTATACCACACTAATGTAAACTTTTATACCACGATAATGTAAATTTTCATACCACACTAATGTTAACTTTTATACCACGTTAATGTAAACTTTTATACCACACTAATGTAAACTTTTATACCACACTGATGTAAACGTTTATACCACACTAATGTAAACTTTTATACCACACTAATGTAAACTTTTATACCACACTAATGTAAACGTTTATACCACACTAATGTAAACTTTTATACCACACTAATGTAAACTTTTATACCACACTAATGTAAACTTTTATACCACACTAATGTAAACTTTTATACCACGTTAATGTAAACTTTCATACCACACTAATGTAAACTTTTATACCACACTAATGTAAACTTTTATACCACGATAATGTAAATTTTCATACCACACTAATGTTAACTTTTATACCACACTAATGTAAACGTTTATACCACACTAATGTAAACTTTTATACCACACTAATGTAAACTTTTATACCACACTAATGTAAACTTTTATACCACGCTAATGTAAACTTTTATACCACGTTAATGTAAACTTTCATACCACACTAATGTAAACTTTTATACCACACTAATGTAAACTTTTATACCACACTAATGTAAACTTTTATACCACGATAATGTAAATTTTTATACCACACTAATGTAAACTTTTATACCACACTAATGTAAACTTTTATACCACACTAATGTAAACTTTTATACCACACTAATGTAAACTTTTATACCACACTAATGTAAACTTTTATACCACACTAATGTAAACTTTTATACCACACTAATGTAAACTTTTATACCACGATAATGTAAATTTTTATACCACACTAATGTAAACTTTTATACCACACTAATGTAAACTTTTATACCACACTAATATAAACTTTTATACCACGATAATGTAAACTTTTATACCACACTAATGTAAACTTTTATACCACACTAATGTAAACTTTTATACCACGATAATGTAAATTTTTATACCACACTAATGTAAACTTTTATACCACACTAATGTAAAATTTTATACCACACTAATGTAAACTTTTATACCACGATAATGTAAACTTTTAAACCACGATAATGTAAATTTTTATACCACACTAATGTAAACATTTATACAACGCAGACAGCACATTGGCCGTCTCACTTGGCCAATGTCCGAAGATCTCAAACTCTGTTGTGTACGGTCGTGATAATAAGGGACTTAACACTACAGTACTTATTCTGTCAGTAATAGAAAATATATATATGTATCGGGCGCAAAAGTGAGTTTGTGTGTGTTTGTGTCTTTTTGTCTGTGCGTGTTTGAATGTGTTTGTTTGTATGCGTGGTTGTGTTTGTGTTTGTGCGTATGCTAGTGAGTGTTTGAGAATGTGTTTGTGCGTATGTTAGTGCGTGTGTTTGTGTGTGTGTGTGAGTGCATTTCTGCGTATGTTGGTATGTGTTTTTGTGTGTTTGTGAGAGTTTGTGTGTGTGCATTTCTGCGTATGTTGGTATGTGTTTGTGTGTGTATTTCTGCATGTGTTGGCATGTTTTTGTGTTTGTGTATGTTTATGTGAATTTGTGTTTGTGCGTACGTGCGTGCGTGTGTACGTGGACAGAAACATGGCGGTAGTTCACTGAGTACAGCCGAACGATGACACAAAACATACAACAGCTTATTTTTCTGATGTTTACTGAATCGTGACCAAATATATAACAAACACCCACGGGACACGGGGGAGGAGGGGGCTCATCTAGGCAGAGGCGTTGCGAGTGGGGGGGTGTGGACCGAACCGGTGATACCATTTAGGGGGGGGGGGGTGACACCAAGGCAAAAAATAGCAATATATATAGAGAAAAGCAATGATCGTTTCTGTTAAATGAATGATTAATTAGAGTTAAATAGTCCTTTAAGAGCCAAGTTGACAAATCCCGACTAGAGAATAGGGGGGGGGGGGGGGGGGAATACCAACCAACCGTTGGAACATTTACCTGAGGAAAAAGCTTTGTTTAGAATTGTAATAACTGATACGTCAATCAACTACTGGGATGGGGTGACACCAAATTTAATAATTTTCTACAAAAGTAATGATTTTTCCACTTGAATTAATAACTTTTAGAATTAGGCCCCTCAATGCTTTTTCTAGGTGGATCAAATATAAAGTTGACGCCACTCGACAAAAAGGTGGGGGGGGGGGGGGGGGTGACACCAAATACACCGTCCATTGAAGTGGATGGGGTTAAAAACCACATTGGAAATTCACAAATCTACAAATCAATAGGCAATAAAAAACGAGCAACAGATAAATAGAACTGGTTGACTTGCAACATTGACACATTTTGACGCTTTTCGTCAGCTATG